GTGACCAAGCCATTTGTCTCGTGCCATCTCTCTCCAGCCTTCCACAAACTTTGGGCAGGGACACCACTCCTACCCCCTGGCTAATACCACTCCATGGACCCAACCTCCATCACTTTATCTCACTTCTCTTTAAACTCTGTTCTAGTTCTAGCCTTCACAGCCTCCTGCAGCAAGGAGTTCCACAGGTTGACTCTTTGCTTTGTGAAGAAGAACTTTCTGTTACTAGTTTGAAGCCTGCTACCCATTCCTTTCCTTTGGTGTCCTCTAGTCCTTCTTTATGGGAACTAATGGAGAACTTTTCTGTATGCACCCTCTCCACCCAACTCCTGCTTTTAGAGACCTCTATCCTGTCCCCCCTCCGTCTCCTCTTTTCTAAGCTGAAAAGTCCCAGTCTCTTTAGCCTCTCTTCATATGGGACCTGTTCCCAACTCCTGATCATTTTAGTTGCCCTCCCCTCTCCCACTCTCTCTCTTCCCTCCTCCCACCTCCTTTTCCCAGTCTCCCCCAGTTTTGTTCAATAAAGACAGATTCCATTTTTGACCACAATTGTCCTTTATTTTGTACATCAAGAAAAGGGGCTAGGGAAGGGTAAGTGGAAGGAGGTGAGGGAGGAATGGGGTACGTGCCCCCGATGGGGAGGACTGGGCTGGCTCTGTGGGCTTCTGGGGGTGGAAGCTCTCTTGAAGCCCCCCAATTGCCCCCTCTCCCCAGATGGCAGCCTGCGGCAAGTGCAGCCGGGCTGATGGCCGAGTGCTGTGATGTGCCCAGTGTGGGTACTCCGGGCAATCCAAGCCAGGACTGCTTTGCCAGCGGGACACCCCTGAGAACTGTCTGTCCGGGGTGGGGGTCGGACCCTTTAAGCACAGCCCTCAGCTAGCCTGAGACAGCATCTCCACGCTCTAAGTCCTCCTCTGATATGTTACATGATGTATTTTGCCTAAAACGTCTTTTAGTTATTCTAAGCCAATGTTCATAAAGATTTGTCACTTTGGAAGCAGGGTTTATAAAACAGTGCACCCATTTGCACCCTGAATTTTTATTCACCTTTTGATATCTGTGATATAAAGATGCACGTGTGTGTGTGTGTGGATTTTTATTTTTTAATTTTATTTTTTTTTGCAACTAGACATTAGATATCAAGTAGCAGAGAAAGAGTACAGCCTAGAATGTGGGCAGATACTTCACTTGTCCCAGACCTTACTAGGAATGGAGCTCAGGCTTGATTTGCAACAATTCAGAAGTTCAATTTCTGGACTTTTGTACAAAAATTGTGAATCATGATAAAATTGTGATTCAGACAAAAGGTAGAGACCAAACTGTTTCCCACAGGCACTTGGTTAGGATTTAAAATGAGATCCAGAAGGTGTGAAACTAATGCATTAACATCACTGGATTACTTAGCTCCTTTCATTTCTCCTTCCTAATATGATTATAATTACAGGTGCCATTTTATTTACATCAGAAATGTGCACACTCAGACAAGAGAATTTATTGGGTGGAAACAGCTACATTTCCTTTATGTTGCTGCCAACTTGTGCATTAGCAAATGTGCTCCAAAACTTCACTATGAATTTCTACCACGCAATATTATGCAAAAGCCACCAGGTCACGAAGTGGCATTTTAAAACCATGTTTCTTTTCTGTCAGTGATAGAATATTTTCCTTTGGTCATGTCAAACCAACACAACACTGCATTATGACAGCAGTAATTTTGTCTGAGACCTATAAGCAAAGGTCAGATCCAAGGGATGACACCTTTAAACAACATAACCATCCTATGTCTAGAACGGATAATACTTTAAAAACAACAGCCACCGACTCATCTGAGCTTACAGAAAATTAATGGTGACTAAAAGAACAAAAGAAACTGCTTAGGTCAGGATATAGAGAATGACTACAGTGAACCTCATTTCCATTGATTTACTCATCCTTAAAAAATGTGTTGAGAGGGAAAAATAAGGAGCAAATGAGAATCAAGGAAAATGAAAAAGCTGAAAGCAACAGAAGGATACAAAGGAGAGACGAGAACTGTGTTAAAAGCCTTCCTTTAAAAAAAAAAAATCTTAACACCAGAAAAACTACCTTTCCTGTGCCACTCTTGCATAAACAATATGTACAGGAAGTGACTTACACCTTGATCTAGCAAAGCACTTAAGCAAGTGCTTAAGTCGAAGCATGTGACCAGTCCCAAAGACTTTGCTGGATATGGCTCTTAGAGGAGGAAATGTACCTACTTTTCCAGTCAAAAAACTTTACATAGTTTATACAGCAGCCTAGGTTTGCAAAAATAATCTTACATTACTATCCATCTTCTTGCATTCCCCTTATAGACAGAAATGTAATGGCCTGTGAGTATAAATATTTCAATAGGCAAAAGTTTTTACATTTATGTACACTGTAACAAAATTAATTATACACTTTTAACTTAATTAACAATTTCCATTTCCATGGTGTCTGTAGCACTGCACACTAATTATAAAAATGTGTGATTCATAGAGATGGTTCAATAAACAATTGTTGTGGTGTTTCTATCACGTTAAGGTCATTTATCCTATCTTAGTATCAATCAGTTAAATGCTTGGCTGAACAGGGAACCTTTAAAATGTGCCCTTAACGCTGAAAAATGTCCAAGACTTTAAGGTGCAAGTTCCCAGGGGATCTGCAGACAGTGTTCTGCTCCTGGAAAGTTCAGTTCCATTCAGCAATTTTAAAAGCACGAGGAGATTTCACCTGTCTGGTGATTTTGTCTCATAGAATCATAGAACCATAGAGCTGGAAAAGACCTCAGAAGGTCATCAAGTCCAGCCCCCTGCTCTAGGCAGGACCAATCCCAATTAAATCAACCCAGCCAGGGCTTTGTCAAGCCGAGACTTAAACACCTCTAGGGATGGAGACTCCACTACTTCCCTAGGTAACCCATTCCAGTGCTTCACCACCCTCCTAGTGAAATACTGTTTCCTAATATCCAACCTGGACCTCTCCCACTGCAACTTGAGACCATTGCTCCTTGTTCTGCCATCTGTCACTACTGAGAACAACCTCTCTCCATCCTCTTTGGAACCTTCCTTCAGGAAGTTGAAGGCTGCTATCAAATCCCCCCTCACTCTTCGCTTCTGCAGACTAAACAGACCCAACTCCCTCAGCCTCTCCTCATAGGTCATATGCTCCAGCCCCCTAATCATTTTGGTTGCCCTCCGCTGAGCCCTCTCCAATGCGTCCACATCCTTTTTGTAGTGGGGGGTCCAGAACTGGACAC